GGCGGGTCCGGGCTGGGGATTCGAACCCACCACCTTAGGTGTACGTGGCTGGCGCCTTAGCCAGTTGAGCTATAGGCGCCGAGCCAAGACCATTTCTTGATAGTGATTCAAGAACACTTGAAACACTGCTGTATTTTGGATGGATCAAACCTACTTAATCTGTAATCCTAAAGTAGAGAGAAGCAATTGGGGGACTTCAATATAGAAAGTGGGGGCAGGAGACCAAACAAGATTATGAATGTATATCCAAGTCACTCAGGAACTTTTATACAGGTGCAAGAAACTTATGTCAAAGTGGCCACAAGATTGTTTAGTAGGAGACGGACGAATGTAACTCCATGTTTACTGCTAGAAACCAAAGCTTTGTGTGAAATCTTGAATTTATGGGGAGGAAGGGCAGGAAAGCCTATACTTGTGTGTTCTTTTCCTGATCCCTTCCCCTCATTCCTGAACTGCAGGAGACTGAGCCCCCTTGGGCTTTGGTGACCCCATCCTGGGGTGTGTTTATTTGATGGTTGATTTTGCTGTACTGGGTACTTCTTTTCCCATTTTCTAATCATTTTGTAGCACACATGCTGACTCTTCCCCTCCCTTCTACTTTCCCTGGGAAAATACAATGAATAAATAAAGACTTATTGGTACTGAAACTGTCTAACTCCCGTCAGATGTTTTTTTCTCCTCCCATCGTTCTCACCTTCCTGGATAAGGATTCAGAAGTCACTCAAGAACCATTAAGTTTTTCTTTCCCCACCACTTTATTAGGAATTTGGAAGTTCAGTCCTCTTAGCACCTCATTACAGTGGATTTTTGTTTCTACTTAAGTCTCTAGCCCTTTCCTTGGAAGTTGCCACATTCAAGAGGGGATTAGGAGTCTGGCATGCATAAGAATGGAGTTGCCTATGCCACTGGCTGGGATGAAAAGGATGAGGCCAGGGCTTGGGGCATGAGACCCTAATAACACTTTGTCTCCTACTCCTCAAAGTCCTTTACAAATCTTAATTAACCCCTTGCAGTACCCCAAGGACATAAAATGTGATATGGAATCGGAGAAACTGAGGCCAGAAGAGATTTCACTAAGAAGCTAAATCACATTTTCTTTGAACCCAAGTTTGCCAGGCTTGTAATGAACACTGAATTTTTTATTGAGATACCTCCCCCTAAGACGGGTTGTCAACCTGTGTGTTGCAACCCTTCTGGGGAGGTCTCCTGCATATCAGATATTTACATTACGATTCATACAGTAGCAAAATTACAGTCCGAAGTAACAACGAAAATAATTTTATAGTTGGGGGTCACCACAACATGAGGAGCTGCATTAAAGGGTCATGGCATTTGGAAGGTTGAGAACTGCTGCCCTTAGAGAAGGGGAAGAAGTGATTGGAGGCAAACCAAGTATTAACAAAAAAATATAGGGAAACTGGTATAACTCCTAAAACCTGGCAACATCAGAGCAAGGGTAGTACATATATGTGGTACACATATCCACACCAGGGACTCTGTGGCCCCTTAACCAACTGTACCAAAAGCTAAAATTGACAAACTACTGGGCTTCAATAAGGGGTTTTCCTGCAAAATTGAAATATCCCAGGCTGAAATTTACTCCCCAAGTTGCAAAGCTTAAGACAGTATACTCATTTTCAGGTCTTTCTCTCATCATGTTACTCTTCAACATTTCATCAGAAAGAGTGGATGAATTCAGGATCACAACTGCAACAACTCTTCCTGGCCTTGTTTCTTTGATGAGACTTGAGTTTATGCAAAGTCAGATACTACAAGTACCTCCTCTGAAAACTGAAATTCTGTTTCTTTTTTTGAAGACAGTCTCTACTTCATCCAGGATAGACTGCAGTCACAACCTCAAACTAGGCTCAAGTGACCCTCCTGCCTCAGCCACTCCAAAGTAGCTGGAACTATAGACATCCTCCACAAGGCCCAGCTAATTTTTCTACTGTTGGTAGACAGGTCTTGCTCTGGCTCAGGCTGGTCCCTGCCTCCTAGAAGACTGCTAGAAGTGAAGTTCCATTTAATTCAAAAAATTGAGCCTAGAAAAACTGATTGCATTAGAATTTATTCCCCTGCTTCTCTTGATTTTGAGAAAAGAGAACTACCAATTTATTTTGTCAATTAGCGCCTAAAATCTCATCAACAATTTTTTCTTAACGGTTTGGGTACTGAGCTAATAGTTTCTCTGTCACATCTAACTGATGGCTTTTCTGATATTTTAGAAGTCATTCTTAGGCAGAGGTTTCTGTGACCTTACCCCTTTTACTCCTACCTTTGGGTAGGTCTTAGGAATCTGCAAACCCTTCAGGGTGCCTTAAATTGGCACGAGATGGATCGATGTTTAGTCCGTCTACAAAACTAGCAAGAAATAGGAACTTCTTCCCAAATGACAAAACCCACTAAATAAAACACGAAACAGTAAAAATTAATTTTCAAGACTGTTGTATCAGGACTCTAACGAAGCCCAGACAGCAAGATGCCGCCTTACCCGATTTCTCGGCGGTCCTAAACGGCCGACAGCGGCCCAGAAGCCCCTCAATTTGAGGCGTAGCTTCCTTAATTCCTGCCTTGTGGCGCATTTCCGCAGCGAATATTCGAGAGTCCTCCGGTTCTGTGGGTCTACTGACCTCTGGGCTGTTCAAGCCGGGATCTGCCCCGCCTTGCTCCGCAGGTTCCCCAGCACGTGGGCTGGAGCTCCGCCGTCCGCCCCCTCGGTCACGTGAGCACCACCGCGCCCAAGTTTTTATTTCGCCGCGAGGTAGCGCGCGCACCGCACGCCCGAGACGGCCACGCCCCGCCTTCCCCTGCTCTGCAGGCCCAGGGCAGGGCCCGCCCTCTAGGGGACGAGAGGGGGCGTGTCCAGCGCCCAAAGATGACGTACTCTTCTAGCGCCACGTCGTGAGGAAGTGTGGATCTACTGGAGCAGCTGGGAAGCACCCAGCTGAGCGAATCAGGTGTCAGTGGATTCCTGAGGAGAACCCGAGGAGTGAGTGGTGACTGGGCGGGAGGCGGCTGCGGTAGAGGTAAGGGGACAATTGAGGATTGGATGGGAGGCCTCAGAGGTATGCGGGAGCGGGGCTACGATAACTGAATGGCATAGTAACTAGGAGCGCGGAGTGGGAAATGGCTTGGGGGAAGATGGAGAAGGAAGAAGGAGAAAATGAATCAAGATGAGGGCACCATGATGTGGCAGGAAGCCGACTTAGATGACCAGAAGTCAGCGCAGATACTGAGAAAAAGGGAATGAGAGCAGACCTATGAAGACAGGAGGACCAAGGAAAGGTTTCTGTCCCCAAAGGTCACATTGGCTTATACAACTCTGGGTAGATCACTCCATTTTCTACACCTCTCTTGCTTCTACAAATCTTCTTCCCTCAGCTTTTTCTTACAGGCTTAGAGCAATGTCTTTGGATTTTAATGCTGGCAGCTCACCATAGTCCAGTTGAATCCGTGGAAGCCCTGGTGACTTTCTTTCTTCTTTATCCAAGGTAACCTGGCTTGTCTCTTGTTTTGTGGTGATCTTCTCAGCGGGTAAGAACTATGTCATGGATAAAAGAAGGCGAGTTATCACTTTGGGAGCGATTCTGTGCCAACATCATAAAGGTGAGCAGTTCCCAGAGTACTAGTTGGCTTTCTGGTCAGTTGAGTAACTCTGTATCAAAATCTGTTAGTAAAGTTGAACAATTCATGACGTTAAGTTGGAGTCTTAGAGTGGCAAGGTAACTTCCCAGTCTACATTTCTAGTTGATTATTGTCTTAACTGTAACATTTTTAGGAAGCCCAAGTCTACCAATGTCATTAGGCAGCATAGATTAAGCCTTTCTTAGAATTAAAATTTGTTTCCCTGGAACTTTGAGCCATTGTTCCTAGTACTGTTCTTTGAATTCAGATAGAATAATTAATCTTTCTTAGACCTGACAATAGAGCACAGGTAAGAATTTGGGCTCTGGATACAGACAAACATGAGCGAAAGTCCCAACAAAAACGTATTGTTTATTAAGTATGTGACATTAACAACTGTAGAGTTGTTAGGAGAATGAAAAAAAACATACATATAAAGCATTTAGCACAATGTCTAGCAGTTCTTGATTATTATTATTGTTGGGCTGGTCTTTTAGCCATCTAAATATTATGATCACTCCATTTCCTACACCTCTCTTACTTCTACAAATCTTCCCTCAGTTTTTTCTCTAGGAATCACAGCAGTGTTATATCCTCTTCCCAGGACAGGTTTGAGGTTCGGGCCAGTCAACCTGGTTTTGTTTTTAGCGACAGGCTGCAAAGCAGCAGGTGATAGTGAATTTGCTAGTCAGTAAGCGTTATACTCCCAAACATACTCATGCATAAATGCCAAGTGATCTCAAGCAGGCCAGGAAATGGAAAGTATCTCCTCAAGGAATAAATGAACTGACTTGTTAGGAAGAAAAAGCTGTATGACTTGACTAGATTTTTTTCATAAAAGCTACATCTGTGGAACAAAAGTAGAAAAATCTTTTCATCTTCCACTAAAAAGATGCAGGGGAAGCTGGCAGTGAAGAGAATAGGCAAAGGATTTATTTTTGCTATGGTAGACAACCCAAAGCTACTGTAAACCAAATAAGTTTTGTCTAGCTCAAAAAATACATTTTTTCAGGCAACACCTGTGGCTCAGTGAGTAGGGCATTGGCCCCATATACCAAGAGTGGTGGGTTCAAATCCAGCCCCGGCCGAACTGCAACAACAAAAAAATAGCCCGGCATCTGTAGTCCTAGCTACTTGGGAAGCTGAGGCAAGAGAATCACCGAAGCCTAGGAGTTGGAGGTTGCTGTGAGCTATGACATCACAGCACTCTACTGAGTCGATAATATGAGACACTGTCTCTACAAAAAAAAAAAAATATATATATATATATATCTTTTTTCTTTGCTTTGAAATGGCTCCTGGCATTTACATTTTTTAAAAATCCTGCTATTTGGGCTTGGTGCCTGTGGCTCAAGGGGCTAAGGCACCAGCCACGTACACCCCAGGTGGCAGGTTCAAATCCAGCCCTAGCCCACCAAACAAC